ATTAAGCTTTAAACCAAACATGAGATATAACTACTCAAGAATAACTTGGACACCCACAATGGACATCTAGAGAACCTTTGCAAAAGATGAGAAGATCATCAACAAAGCAAAGGTGTGTGAGACCAATTTTCTTATACTTAGGATAGAACTTAAAAATTCCTCTAGAAAAAGCCTAGACAACACATACATAGTCAATACAAACAAGTAGAGGGACAAGGGATCTCCCCACCTTATGCCCCTAACCCCCTAAAACAAACCCCCACTAAGCTCCCATGGAAAGCAACATAAAATCTAGTAGTAGTGAAGTAAATCCTAATCCAGTTCCTAAATTTCTCAGGTAGTCCTACAGCTTCTAAGATTCCTAGAATAAAATCCTAAGAAAGACTGTCAAAAGCCTTCTCAATGTCCACTTTGAAAGAACACCTAGGGGAAAGAGTCCTCCTATAATAACCCCTAACCAGCTCCTGAGCTAACAAAGTATTATCCACTATACTACTACCCTTAACAAAAAGTGTTTGATTACAATAAATAAGACCAGCCAAATACACAGTCAACCTATCTACCAAAATTCTGGTAATAGTTTTATATCCCACTGAACAACAAGAAATAGGTTTCAAATCCTTGACTAAACACAGATTAAGAGCTTTAGGGAAAAGAATCAACGATGTGGAATTAAACCTAGGAAGTAACAAAGAAGAGTTAAAAAAGAACTGAACAGTACCCACAAAGTCATCACCTACCGTGGAGAAAAAATTCTTAAAAAGAAGGTTGTGAAGCCATCCAGACCAAGAATCTTGTCATCCCTTTAATAAAACATGACATTCTTGACTTCATTGGCAGTAACATTCCTTTCAAGAGCCTCAGGACCACTAGAAGGAAGAGAATTCTTTAACACATCCTTCAAAATATCCACACTACATCCCTCAACACCAGAATCAGCAGTTCCAAAAAGTTTAGTATAGTAATCCACCACCTCAGAGGACATAGAGTCAAACATATCCATCTTATCCCCGTTATCATTCACCAAAGCTAGAATAATGTTCCTCTTCAAATAAACTGCAACAGATTGATGAAAAACCCTAGTACATTAATCCCCATCCTTCAGTCATTGAACCTTATCATTTTTCCTAAAAATTAAATTTTCAACCTTTTCTAACTCTCAGACTTCCTATTGCAGCTCCCTCTATTGAGCCAAATTGATAGAACATCAAAAGTCAAATTACAAAACTATTACTGCTCCAAAAGTCTCCTATTCACATTTACCTGCTCTGAAATATTAGTAAAATTTTCCCTATTAAGAAACTTCAGATAACCTTTAAGCTTTTCAACTTATAGAACATGACTTGCATAGGATTACCCTACACAGGCTTAGCTTAAGAATTCTTGACCACATCAGCAAAACCAGGACGAAGATACTAAAAAATAAAAAAAAATTAAACAACTTAGGCCTTAAGCATGGATCTCCCTATCAAGCTTGTAACTTAACATTGGACTTAGGGAAACTAGAGAACCATGGAGAATTAACTAACACCCTATCAAGCTTTCGAGTAATATATCCCTTCTGATGCTTTTTAGATCAAGTGAACAAAAGACCATAAAAAATATGATCTACAACCTCAATATCCTCCAAACAATCCTTACAACCTTGCATATCATAAGAAAGGCTCCCGAAACCAACCAAAATAGAGCACTCAGTAGGAGATATAAAAGCATTAAAGTCTCTCCCCACTATCCAGAAAAAAGAATCAGAAGCCAGATTAATCTCCCTTAAATGACTCCATAAACATCTCTTACTTACACCGTCATTATAATCATAAACATATGTAATGAACATATTATTCCCGTTAAAATAACCTTTAATTGTAATAGATTGGTCACTAATACACCGAACAAAAACATCCAGCCCCTTCCTCTATAAAACCCAAACCTTTTCATTAACAACATGATTGTAATTAGAGAAGACCTCTTAACCAGCAAATTTTACTTCCAAACTAGCAGCGTTATTAACCCTCACCCTAGTTTCCAAAAGGCAGACAACAACCACACCTAACATGTCCAACCTGAGAACAACTCTACCTTGCTTTTAAGGATTATTTAATCATCGCACATTTAGAACCCAAAAATCATTGGACATAAAGGGAAACCTCACTACCAGACTGCAACCCACCAATATCAATCATATTTCCTCTTTTATCAAGCACATCTTTCTTCTTACTCTTAATATCATTCAAAAGAGCAGCCACCCCAAGAGAAATCGCTCTTGGTTTCCTACTAGTAAGCTTAGGAATCACAAAACCAATATCAATTAGAACCTCAAATATATTCTTGGAACTAGCTGGACATTTCTTCTTCTGTTCATTCCTCTTCTTAGAATATTGATTTACATAATACTCACCTTCAGAGGAGCACCTCTACCAGATTCACCCAACACAACACTAGGACCACCCTCAACACATACAACAGAAGTCTTCCCTTTACTAACACTTCTTGCCTACACCTCACTTTCCTGAACCACGGTTACCTCATTCTCTTGAGCCACAAGATTTTCTCATCCTTACCCATAACCTTAGAACATGACCCCTCTTTCACTTTCCACACCTTACTTACTCTCTGAATCCTAGAGCAAACCATAGTAGAATGCCTAAATAAAACACAATGAGAACAAAAAGAGGGAAACTAGGGAACATAAACCATAACAATAGTAATTGAACCATCACACAAGACAACATCAATTGAATCAGGCACCACATCATATACAGCAACCTCAATACAAACCTTGGTAAACTCTAATCTCTGTCTGGATGTAGTTATACCATCAATATAAAGAGGAGTGCCCAAGGCACTGGCTATGTAACTTAAAGCACACATCGAATAAAGCTCTAAAGAGACCTAGTAAAGTTGTACCCACAAAGGAACCCTAGACAAATCAAAATCTAGACTCTTCAGATTAGGCTCCCACTTCCTAAGCAACAACATCTTATTTTGAACATTCCAAGGGCCATGCTCAAGGACCCAATCCCTAGCAGATGAATTGGCAAAAGAGAAGAGATATAAATTTGAGTCAACCATACGCACCTCTACAGGCCCTAATTTCCCCTACATAATGTCAATCAATTTCTCAAAGTTTACCAATGAATTGACTAAGCAGTGAAAACTTCCATTCCTTAACCCCTTCCTCAAAGACTTCTTATGGAGGCTTCATAGAGATCGACCCCTTAGACTACGAAGGCGGAAAAAAAATCAAGAGAATGACCCTCTCCCACCACGAACAACTTCCTCCAATCGGGGGTTTCCAAAACTAGGCCTGTAAATGTACTGAACGTTCAGCGAACCGTTCATTAACCGTGCGGCGGGAAGTTTGTTTATTTATTAAATGAACGAACATGAACAAAATTTTACGTTCGTTTAATTAAATGAACAAACATGAACAGAGGGCTCGTTCATTCATTTACTTTCGTGAACGTTCGATTATATGTTCGTTCATTTATGTTCATTTTTGTTCGTTCATTTATGTTCGAACAGAGGGCAAGTTGAATATGTTATGAAGATTATTGAAGTTGTTTGAATTTCAAGAAGATTGTTTTGTTGAACAAATTAACTTTAAGACTTTATTATGTTCATATAGCTTATTTATAATTTATGTATGTTTTTGTCGTATTCGAACAAACTAACTCTAAAGTTGCAGGTTATATTAATGAATTTTAAGTTGTTATTCTTGTTGTTTACTTTTTTTTACATTCGCTTGTTGTGTTCGAATAAATATTTTTTGTGTGTTTGTGTTGTTCGTTTATGTTCGTTCGTTCGTGTTCGTTTATGTTCGTTTATTTATTAAATGAACGAACATGAACAAAAACAATTTGTTCGTTTATGTTTGTTTATTTATTAAATGAACGAACATGAACATACCTCCGTTCGTGTGCGTTCGGTTAGTTTATAGGCCTATCCAAAACCGAAGACACCATGGACAGCAACGAACCCACCCAAAGGGCAAGAAGCCTCCGAAAGCAATCAACAAACCAAGAAAAGAGAAGAAACCCCCAAACAACCCAAGAAAACTAATTTTTCTCTAGGTGCACATTACTCCGACTAACATGCAAGGACAAAAATTAACTCATGAAATTTTGTTAAATTAATTACTGCAAACATAATTAAAATGGAGAAAAGAAAATTCAAAGTATGATCTGTATTGCGTTTAAAATAAAATGGGTAGGCATTGACTTAAAAGGATGGAAAGTGGAGCATATTGCGCACACCACCAATCCACCTTGGGCTATTTCATGCTTTGGTGGGATCCTTTATTTCATTTTCTGCCAGACCCCACGAGATAAGTGGCTGCGATCTGGGAAATAAAATAAAATAAAATCTAATCATATTAATCAAATAAATTGGTCTGACGACAAAACATGTTATGGGCAATATAATAAACCTTCAAAATTAACATTTTATATACCATTTGCATATTCTATGGACAACTGGAATTTTATTTTCTTTTAAAAAATATGTACATATAAAATTGATAAAATCAGTTGGATATTTATCGGTTAATAATAAATTGAAGCACGTAGTGTAACTGCGAGATTCGCCTTTTCATTATTCATAAACAATATTCTTTTGAACTCTTCTGATGGTACTTATTTAATTACAATTTGTAGTGTTAAAAAAATCAAATAAAAACGTTAAAGGCTACATTTCCATAGGCAAAAACGGAATAACTAGGAACATTAAAGGATGCCTACCAAACTCGACCATCATTCAATATTTAAATTTCAAGTTAAAAAGAATACCATTTACCATATTCAATTTTCTTGATAAAACACGATTTAAAGAAAATGTTGCTTTTCAACACGAATGAACTTGAATTTTACAGATCATTATTATAACTTTAAAATTAAAAATGCTTTGAAAACTACCATTATTACCTTAAAATGTCAGCACAAAAATTTCCACCGCTCTAGAATCATGCAGTTCCTTAGAATCAAAGAATTAGGTAAATAATTAGGTAAATGTAATGTTCAACCACAATTATATATGGACCTCAGAATATATACTACTCTTCAAGCTTTGTTTGTTTATTTCAACAAACCTTGATAATCCTTGAACATAGAATCTTAAAACATGCTAGAATGAGCAATAACCTGTTATCAATGGTGCTTAAAAGATCAAGCACTTTACCTTAGGACGGCTCCACAGCACAAGAAAACCTAAGGGAATGATCTGACTCGGCCTCATTTCACTTTCAACTCAGCAAACACGGATTTAGAAACTCACTCTCAAAACTAAGAACTCATTTTGGTGAGTCCCTGAATTAACAGCTTGAAACTAGTAATAGATAAGCACGCTTATAATACTAAACTTCTCCTAAGTACAAAACTTATGGGCAAGCTATGTTGAGGGGGACGGAAACTTCATCAAAAAGGAAATCGGTGCCGAATTCGCAATCAGGTAACTCACTAGGTTCGTCAGCACCAATACCGCAAATACTCAGGTCTTCAATACTGCAATAATCCTCCAACATCATACCAAAATCATCGACGAACATATAGTCACCGGCATCATCATCTATGTTGAGTTCTTGGCCAACAGAACCAGGCAGTAATGGATCATTGATGAAACCAAGGTCGGGTATAGGTATATCGTCAAAGTTAGCATTGAACACTTCTTTGTTGGCACCAATGCAATCATCATTGTTGTTTTCCGAGACCGAAACCGATGTTTCCTGCACAAATGGGGAAGTATGCGATAAAAGGTTCTCAGACTCTATTGAAGCAGCTGCAGAGCATGAAAGGTCATTGGTTTTCTCAGGTGAAGCAGCAACAGCCAGAGCCTCGAATTCAAGCTTTTTAGCATTGTAAGCGTTGGCTGCTGCTTCAAGTGTGTCGTAAGTACCCAACCAAATCCTGGTTTTCTTCAATGGATGCCGGATTTCAGCAGCCCATTTGCCCCACTTTCTTTGACGAACACCAACAGGTTTTTTAGCCTTCAACACAGGAGATTTGTTGTCACCGAGGATTTTACTCAAAACCCTTTTCCTGCTAGTCGTAGATTTAGTGTTACTGTCTTGAGAAGACGTCTCAGATTCAAGGGGTTTAACCACAGGAAACAACCCTATAACAGGAACCCTAATCTCATGAACAAATCTTCTTCCCCTAGGGACAGTTTCATCGGTCTCATCTTCGCTCGAAGACGAATCAGTTGCGTAAGGATCATGGATGATGATCCGAACTTTTCTAGTAATTTGGGCTTCTTCAGTCATTATTGATTCGGTTTTCTTGCTCTTTTTGCAGATTTTGCTTGTATTCATGGTTTGTTTTTGGTGGTCTAACATTTTCCGGGGGAAACTCAGGTTAAACCCCCCCCCCAAAAAAAACACGTGGAAAACTGTGGATATCAATGAAAACAAAATCGAGGGACAATAAATAATGGTGAACAAAATTTCTGTTAGAAAATCAAAGAGATATCAAGTATCAGCCCCTCTAAGAAACAAGAAAAGATATAAAAATCGTTGTTTTATTTCGAAATCTCCAAAACACTCAACACCGGAACAAGTCCTGCAAACAAAAAAAAAACAATCCGACATCAGAACACAGAAAAAAACACAGAAATACAGATTCGGATTGAAAATCTAGAGCATGGGTTTATGTGTTTTGACATACTTTTTTGGTCTCAAACGCATCGAGACAGCCGGGAACACGGGATTCAGTCTCTGCCTAAAGAAGCAGAGAATCATGCAAGAAACAGTCAACAAAACAGTACAGAAGAAGCGAGCAGAGACAATTTTTGTTGAAGAAGTGAAACAGAGCTGCAACTGAGCCCCAATCAAAGCCAAATCAAACTCAGCCGACATAAATCCACTAATCAGCCTCCCTTCAGTGCTCTTCGCAACCGCAACGGAAACCAGACCGGAGAGAGAAAAAGAAAGAAAGACGCTAACAAAAAAAAAAGCCTCTTCTCTTCCTCTTTTTACCTTTCCGAAGAGAAGCCAAAACAATAAAAGGGTTTTAGATACTGATAGATCTAAGATGGAAAAAGAGAAGAAAAGGATAGAAATATATGGCTATATGATTTCTCTCTGTAAGCTAACAAAAACCCTGCAAAAACAACCCCTTACCACTTTGCTACAACAGTAATATAGACCACAAGGCAAGAAGAAAGCATCAGAGTGAAAAACAGTGTAAAATTTATGACTTACCAACGAGCTTTTAACACAAGGCGCAAATCTCAACAAATAAATTAAATATTAAAAACCATTTTTATTTCCATTTTCCTAAGAGAAGTCGGATAAAATATAATGTTAACGTTTTCCAGATTTTCCATTACCTTCTGTCTGTAGTGGGTGTAGACTGATCCTTTTCTTATTCAAATCTAAACGTCGCTCTCTGTTTTTTTCTTCTTCTACTACTGCTCTGTGTTTCTTTTAAGGCCCTTTACCTTTTTACCACACCCAGCAGTCTAAAACCACAATTTATACAATTATTGATATAATTAAAAGGAAAAAAAGTAAATATATAAGTTTATGGAAACAAATAAATGAGCTGTCATGCATATCCCCCATTAATGCCTCCATTACCAATCTTAACATCTCATGCTAATCATGTTTTCACTGCCTTATTTTTTATTTTTTTATTTGCACGAGGTTTTCTAACTAACACATCTCACTCGCGATTATTATCCACGCTCGCATCGACGAGCTTTTTAACTTTGGCGCTTTAAGATTGGACTGGCTGATGGCGTGTTGATTACACGCTGGAAGTATTGGGTTGGATATGGAAATGCCTTATTTTGGTATAAAACGAAGCGCCGCGATTCGGCAACGTATTAGGGGAAGGGTTTTCCTTGGCGTTTACTACTGGATTCCCGTAACATTCGAGTATGGAACTCTAGTAAATTACAATGCTGCCACTAAAGCAGTGACCATACTTCGTTTTACCCACAATTTTTCTACGGTCTAATATTATTTTTAATACTATTTTAACACTATAACATCACATTTATCATATTAATATTATTTTATAATTTTAAATGAAATTAAAAGCTATCAAATATATTTAAATTATTTTTCAAATCATGAATCAAATGATTTTAATAGTTAAAGATTATTATTTTTAGAAGTTTCATATTAGAATATCTCATATGTAAAAATTAAAATAGTCATTATCATATGATTAAAAAATTTAAACATATAATATCTCATAACTACTTTAAATTAAATAAAAAATATTTTTTAAAATATATCAAAATCATTTTTATCGATTGTAGACACTCCTCGTCCATTTATTTTCTTTTTTTTATATATAGTTTTTTAAAACATTTTTGAAAATAAATATAATATATAGTTTTTAAAACATTTTTAAAAATATATATATTATATAGTTTTTAAAAATTTTTGAAAATAAATATAATATATATTTTAAAATATTTTTAAAAATATATATATTATATAATTTTTAAAACATTTTAAAAATAAATATAATATATAAATATTAAAACATTTTTGAAAACATATATACTATATAGTTTTAAAATATTTTTGAAAATATATTATATCATATGGTTTTGGAAAACGTTTTTTTAAAAATCATAAATAAAATATAATTTTAAAAAAATATTTTATTTTATTTTCTATTTTATTTATTATTTATTAGTAATTATTTTTGTTTTTTTTTTTCGGTTCAGGTATGAGTCCAAGAGTCCGATGCAATAGGTCCAGACAGTCCAAAGTGAGCCTGATCCAGCCCGTAACCAATAGCCTAGGTCAGAGTTAGGGTTTCACATCCAATCCCAGTCAAGGCACCGTACGACCGGGAAATCAGGAGCTAAACCCGAAACGGCCGGGCGACATCCCGGGACTGACCCATCCTAGGATGACCGGTCACGCATCCACGAACGGCCAGTAAATCCCAACCTTTTCAGGGTTCACAACGGTTGGTGGGGGTTATAAAAACCCACGGTCAGCACATCAACGGGGAGGAGAACAACGGTTGGCCGAAAACACGAACCCAAAAGCCACACAAAAGCCAAACCATCGTCATCAATACACCAAAGAACATAACCAACAGAGGACAATGGCAACCAAGTACCATCAACAACAGTAAGCAAACCATCGAACACAAGAACGGTGACCACCATCGAGCAACAACAGACCCAAATAAAATCTATCATAAACAGTCGAACCACAAACAAAAAGAAACACAAAGCAAAACCGTAAAAAAAATATAAGGGAGCCAAGACTCACAACCGGAGAACCGCTGGAAGCCGAAAAGGTCGACGCATCAAAGGTAAAGGCCGAGACTTTCGGCTTAGATCTACGCCGGTAGGGGTAAGCTTTGGTGTTTTGGGTCTCGAATTTGGGTGTACGGGGTTAAGGGGAGTATTTTGCTAAGGTTTTAATTTTCACGGCGGCCGTCAGAGGCTGTGAACGGCGGTGGCGACAGCAGCCGGCAGGCTTCCCATCGGTGGGGATGGCTATAGAGAGAAGTGAGAGCATTTTATGTAAAGAGAGAGAGTGGGAAGGGAGCAAATGAGGTGTTTAGGCCATTTTGTAGTGGGTTGGAATAATCTGGGTTATTACCATGTACCGGACTCAAACGAAGAGAACAAAGCGAAGAAGATGGAGAAAAAAATCAAACAATTGGAAGACCAAATGAAGGTAGTCAAAGGAGACCATGACTACCATGAAATCGATGCCGCAGAACTCAGTCTAGTCCTAGACTTGGTTCTTCCTCCGAAATTTAAGTCCCCGGAATTCGAGAAGTTTGACGGGAACAATTGTCCATCTGCTCAAATCACCATGTTCTGCCGAAAGATGACAGGATATGGAGGAAACGACCAACTCCTGATTCACTGCTTCCATGAGAGTCTGTCGGGCTCAGCCATTCGGTGGTACAACCAGCTAAGCCGATCAAATATCAAGACCTGAAAGGATATGGCCAAGTTATTTCTGGAACAATACAAGTATATCAATGACATAAGGCCAGATTGAGTTATGCTACAAAGCATGGAAAAGAAGCATAACGAGAGTTTCAGGCAGTACGCACAAAAATGGAGGGATTTGGCTGTGCAAGTTCATCCACCGTTGGATGAAAAGGAAACCCGAAAGCTCTTCGTGCAAACCCTGAAGGCTCCATACTTCGGGCACCTGGTTGCGATCACATCAGGAAGCTTTTCAAACTTGGTTATGGCCGGAGAAATAATTGAGTCAGCCATAAAGCAAGGCAAAATTAAGGATGTAGAGGCTAGTAGGAAACCTCCTATGCGAAAGCGAGATTGAGAGATTAACAACATCAACCATGCCAGTAAAGGTGTTACGATCTCCAAATCGAAATCAACTACAACTGTACCGTCAGGTACTTCTAAACAAGATTCCAGAGAACCAAGGAGGGAAAGGGAACATTTCGACCCTATTCCCATGACCTATAAAGAGCTTTATAATCAACTTCTTGACACTCATGTAGTGTCACCATACCTGGTTGAACCCTTGAAGCCCCCATACCCCAAGTGGTATGATGAAAATATGCATTCTGAATATCACAGCAGAGTCCCAGGGCACACAATTGAGAACTGTTACACATTCAAAATGGTCGTACAGAAGATGCGTAACCAGAACTGGATCGACTTCAACAACTTGGGGGCATCCAAGTGAGGAAGATCATTTCATCATTTGAGGCATTCGGTTTGAACTTGTTTTTTTTTCTACTTTTTCAAGTTTTTGTAAGGACTTTTAAATAAATTTATGTTACTTTAAAGACGTTAAGCAATGAATCACATTTGCAAACTTGCAATTCTTTGAATATCATCTGAATTAAGAAAACTCTGTAAATTGTTCAAAGTTACAAATCTCTGACAAAGTAACATGATTTAAAACAAGAACTTTGACCTTACCCAAAATATACCAAGCTCTTGCAATTAACCAATATAACATTTTCATTTCATATAGTGCGGACAACATGGGGTATCCTTTTGCATATGACATTTCTATACTTCTTGTTTAAGACGTTCAGTGATGATGATGATCTTCACAGATGGAATAATCGAGTAATCAAATCTAGTTTAGGTCAGTTGTTTGGAAATTAAACTCTAAAGATGAGATTCCTTGACTTTAAAAAACACCTAGACTATAACAGGTTCTTCTTGACAATCTTAAGAAATTAAAACCGTAAAGCTGAGCTATTCCACTAAGGCAATTGGTTATAGAGGAAACTTGAAAGCTCTGGCCTTATGAATAGGTTACATTCAAACCATGACATTGCTCGAACACTTGGCAATTCGGTGTTTGCTCTACTGCTATTGTCCGGTCGAAGACTTTGTGATGAGATGAACCCTTCAGTTAACTTGATAAAACTGATTATAATGTTAAGTTGTCCCTCTAAAGCAATTGGTTAAACGCCCCGACTTTATGGATTCAGCTAGCCAGATAACGGCAAATTAAATCAAATTTATCTAAGCAATAATTTTTCAGTAATGGACTAAGAGAGTTAAGGAACACCTGTTATAGTCAACTACACACCAGCACTCAAGAATTTCATTTTTAGACCGATATTTTTTGCGCTGCCTTTATTAGAGGAGCCTACAAAGCTTGAACAAATGGAAGATTTCAGAGGACCGAAATAGAAGGTCTAGTAATTGATCAGGCTAGTTGCGTCATTTTGTCTGCACCCAATTGAAATGCCAAAGTATGTTGCGATATTTCATAAAAATGACATTTTGGGTTACAAAAACCTTATAAATGAGGCCAACCTAAAGCCAACTCATCCATTCGAACATTTTTCAAAGAGCTGTAACTCTGAAAACATTAAAAGAGCTCTTGATTCTTTTGATATTCTTTGAACTCATGTTTACAATTTGATTCAATTGCGAACAATATTTTACAGTATTTTTTATCATTTTCCCTCCTAAAACAAGAAAAATGAGAAAAACATTTTCAAACAGGACAACCTCAGATATGAAAGGTCGGTAAAGCCAAAGCTCAAAAAGATAATGGGGCACGATCAATTCCAAAGACCAGATTGGTAGACAAAACAAGAAACTCCGT